TACTATCCTTCTGTTGTTCCATCAGCAGAGTCCTGTCGCACCATATACCACCCTACTCTAATAGCAATTAGCTCAACACCTGGCAAAAAGCAGGTGAACAACCTGCTCAACCTCTTTTCTCACATTGGAGGCCTCCCTGGCCACACTGCTTCAGAGGTCCTCCCTCCTCTCTGCACCAAAAGCTTTCCCAAACAGACTACTTGACTCCACAACAGAACTCATGCTCCACTGTATGATGAAAACTTTGTATAAATACATCGCCATGCCCTAGAAGCTACAGGGCCCAAGATACTCATCTTTGAAGAATCTGTCCATCCAGCTAAATCAACACAAGCAGGAGGGAGAAGAATAGGAGAGACCTTGTCTGAAATCTGCAGTTAAAAAACACCCAGGATAGGCCGGGCTCGGTGGCTCACGCCTGTAATCCCAGCACTTTGGGAGGCCGAGGCGGGTGGATCACGAGGTCAAGAGATCGAGACCATCCTGGTCAACACTGTGAAACCCCGTCTCTACTAAAGATACAAAAAATCAGCTGGGCATGGTGGCGCGTGCCTGTAGTCCCAGCTACTCAGGAGGCTGAGGCAGGAGAATTGCCTGAACCCAGGAGGCGGAGGTTGCGGTGAGCCGAGATCGCGCCATTGCACTCCAGCCTGGGTAACAAGAGCGAAACTCCGTCTCAAAAAAAAAAAAAAAAAAAAAAAAAAAAAAAAAAAAAAAAAAAAAAAAAAAAAAACACCCAGGATAAACACAGTGGCTCAGCACTCATCATTCATTCAAAAAATATGTATTAGCCATTAACCAGGCACTGTTCTACTGCTGGGAATACAGTAGTGGAAAATTGGGAGTTGAGGCAATTTGCAAGAGACCCTGGTTGGGCTGAGGAAGTCCATGTTCTACACAGGACAGACCTAATCCCATTCTGAATGTCACCTCAGAATGAGTGTTTGGAAGAAGCTTCAGGTGCAAACTGCTGAAGACTCCCCCCTCATCTTAGGCTGATCTAGCCTGCAGACCAACGGGGAGAGTGCAAGTGACAAAGCAAAGGGAACATTCCATTCACTTATTAGCAGTTAGAATAGAAAATGAGAGTTTGGGCTGGGCACAGTGGCTCACGCCTGTAATCCTAGTACTTTGGGAGGCTGAGGCGGGCGGATCATGAGGTCACAAGTTAAAGACCAGCCTGGCCAAGATGGTGAAACCCCGTCTCTACTTAAAAAAAAAAAAATTAGCCTGGCATGTTGGCGGGCGCCTGTAATCCCAGCAACTCGGGAGGCTGAGGCAGAGAATGGCTCGAACCCAGGAGGTGGAGATTGCAGTGAGCTGAGATCACACCACCGCACTCCAGCCTAGGCGACAGAGCAAGATTCCATCTCAAAAACAAACGAAAAAACAGAGTGTGAATGGGTTAGTGCTCAAGGGACTTCTAAAGACAAGTGGGAAAAAACAGACAATGCCCTCTGACACTGATATCTTTAGAATGTACATATGGTCTGCCCACTGGGCTTTTGCACTAAGCATCATTAACAGAGTCCTTGTTTCTGGGTCCCCCAGAGTAGTCTCAGTCACCTCACTCTTCTGCTGAATAATGCCGCACATAGAAGAGTTACAAGGGGGAAGGCAGGAAGACATATCCCCAGTGGGTGGTGCAGCTGATGAGCTAAGACTCAGGGACTGAGAGGGAACTAGAACTGTCTACCATAGGCCCTTACCTTCAGAGATCTCATCAAGGGAGCACACCACCTCTATCTGAATAGCCTGTGTAGTATATGGTTACTTTACATTTTCTCGCTCAATATGTTGGGGTTCTACTAACAGGACCACAGGTCTAACAGGAAGCATATGTGTTTTATAACCAGAGACCTGGGTTAGAATTTTGAGTCTTCCAGTAGTTGTGTCACTTTGGGCACTTTGTAACCTCTGTGAGCCTATTTCCTCATCTGTGCAAGCATTAAAATCATGTGATATACTTAGCACAAAAAGTAGTCGATAAATGGTGGTTATTAGTCATTCTATCCCCCATTCTGGAATACTGAGGACAGCTTCTACAGCCCTGCTGTTCCATTATAGATCTTAAGACATTGCAAGCAGGACAAGGGCAGCCCTGGACATGTACCACTGGGGTATCAGAAAAACGCACATATAATACTCATCTAGCCCTGAAAGCCTTCCTCCTCAGCAAGGGGTGGTGCCACATGGTAGGCACAGTCTAGAAGAGAAGGACCCCACAAAGTGTTACATCCAAGCTCATGCAGGCCTTGCAGGTACAATTTCAAAAACAGACCATTCCAGTGTCTTCCTGCAGGACTATGAGGCCAAGGAAATCTAGACTGCAGAAGTACTCTGGTTCCTGGAGAATGGTATCCATGTACTAGCCTCAAGCTGAGAATGTGATGAAAGGTTGTTACAATGAAGACAATCCTTAGAGGAAAAAATGGAAGCCCCCTATCATAGCAGCTATCATATAGCACTTGGTATACTTTCTCATTTGTTTTCCTTTGACAGCCATGGATATTCTTAAAGGTAATAATTTTATCTTATTCATTGTTATACTTCCAGTGCTGCACACAACAAATGCTCAATGTTTCCCGAAATAATTTGGCCAAAAGCCCTACTATCTCCAACCTTGCTGATTACTTAAGAGTGGTAGAAGATGGTCAGATGTGATGCTATAGCTGCCTGCCTTGGGCCATGTATCACCAAGCACAGCTCAAGGAATAAGCTTGCATCTTGGTCTCTACACAGAGGCTGTCGGCAAGGATAACTCCCCAAATGCCCAAAGCTGTTGAAAGCCTCCTCCCTCACTGAAGCAACTGAGCTAGCTGGTTTTCAGACGGAAAGGCAGTGTAGGCACTGGAATGTGGGCTGCATGTTCCCGCATTGCTGGTGAGGGTGCACGATCTGGCACTGCAGCTGGCTGGTGGGAGGGCTGCATCCTACTCCAGGAGGCGGTACCTTCATGTGGGCTTTCCAAGAAGGCCCAGAGCCCAGGGAAAGAAGAGTGATGGCTGACACCACAGCTCCAAAACCAAAGGCAACATAACGATTAGGGATGGGTGTGTCCTCAACCCTCAGAAAGGAAGACATACCCACACAGCCAGATCATGCTGCTGGGGCAACTCCGGTTCTGGTCCTTATGAATTCTGAAGCTCAGGCTGCAGTCCCTCCCTGGTCCACAAAATCATGTAGTATTTATCACTAAAGTGCTTGGGATGAAAAGTGGAAAAGAAAAACCATTTCTATTTCAGACACAAACAGCTACAAGCACAGGCCTTTCAGGTGGTGGGGAAGCTGTGGATATTATGACTAGATCCAAGCTACTTTTAATAGCTGAATTTCACAGCAACTTTCAAACCAAGCTAAGCCTTCAGAAAGAGCACTGTAGCTTAGAGAACCAGAGCAAAAGATGGGCTATACTGTACTTCAACCTGATACTAGGGAAAGACAGTGCCTTGGTCAAACACTGATCCCCATAAACAGGTGCAGATCTCCTATGTGAGCTCTTGTATCTCTTGCTCCAATACAGTAGCAGTAAGGACAGGAGAGAGTGGCTTCATAGGCCACCAAGGTTGGCTTCAAGAATATACAAAAGAAAGTATTGTGCTGTCCAAGCCAAGGTCTCCAGGCATAGGATACCAAACAGTGACACCATACTTCCTTGCCTAGGGGAACAGGGCAGTTACTGACCTTTCTGGAAAAACCTGAGTCAGCAGAAGGTGAGTAGTTCAAGAAGCCCTATCTTAACCCAGAAGTAGTTACTTAAGGTAAAGCTCTTCCTCATCCACATCCACATCAAACAATTTCAATACCCCTCCCCTAAATGGGGTTTTACCAAAACAACTAGGCATTAAAATGCCTAACAGACACAACAGGCCCAGGCTCTGCAAAGCATTCTAAAAAAAGACTTGCGCCAAACAGGGTGGAGGCCACAGAAATCAACAAGACGGTACTTTGCTGCCATGGCTGCCGGTTCCTGGACCAGGAAGGGAAGGGAAGGATAGCAGACTTGGTGTTTCTCAGTGTCAGCACCAACAACAAATGGCTGCACCAGCCCCTTAGTGCCCCTTACCACCTTTTCATTTTCCTAGAGTATCTGCTGCCAATACCTCTTTATTATGATACAATTTATATGATGCAAAATATGCAGGTTGTAAGTATACCTGTAGTATTTAAGTTCACATTTCTTCCTGAATACTCCAAGACTTGCCCCTCCTCCTTGTACCACAAGAGGGAAATAAACGGGTAACGGAAGGTCTGAGCAGAAGCAGTTCAAGGGGGGCTGCCAAAAAGTCCCTTTAGTTTGTCCCCATTGAATCCTACCAAGAAGACAAGGGATCCTAAAGGGGAGTGGCTCTTCTTTTATCCAGCTGGTCACTCTCAACACAAAGGAAAGAAAAAAAGGCTCTGTGGCTGGGAGTTACCCCACCCCACTTACCCTGCCTACCCCTTTCCAGGATCAATGTTCTTAACCTTACGTTAAGTCAATTCCAATATCCCAGCACATTATCCAGCCTCATCTGAGGTTAAAATCCTTCCTTTGCCATGATTCAGAGACCACCCACCCTTCATATAACTCCCTAGTTTTTAAAGCCACTGAGTAATTCTGGTCATCCAGTAATCAGCCCCTTAACTCCCCTCCCCCACCTAAAAGTGTTTTGCTTCATCATCTCCAAGACAGGCCTGGGCACCAGGGGGTTAGCTGGATCTTTTCTGCACAAGGCCATCACCTTGGGGACCCTCCTCAGGGGCACTCCAGGTGCAGGCTAACAACTCCAGGGGATTTATCAGGGTAAGTGGAAGAGGCATGCCTGCTTTTACGGGGAGCCATCTGTCCTGCCACACTCACAGCTAGCATTTCCATCTCTTGCAAAACAGCTCCATGTTGTATGTGTGTATGGTGGGGAGTGATGCAAAGGGGAACAGAACAACTGTTGCTGTGGATATCTTCGTTCACCAGCCCCATGCATCCCCTTCCCCCAGCCAACTCATTCTCTGGCACTCACCCGAGTGTGTGCTGCTCTGGGCTGAGGAATCTGAGTCCTGGGTGCTCCAGGGTCGGTCCCAGCCCGTCAGACTGAGGGACTGCAGGCCAAGGCACAAGTCATTTGCATCTGGGAGGCCACGGGAAGATTCTTGCGCAGAGGTTGGAAAAAGCATCCTGCTTGTAACTGTTTCTTCAGAGTCCTGGAAGTCTGCGTTGGATAGGAGCACAGCAGAAACCTCAGAGTTAAGGGCTGTTTTCCCCAATATTATCAACAGTAAATATTACTAATAATAGTTTCCCCAGGCTCACGGGCCAGACATCCAAGCTGGCTGGATGCTGTAGCCGCTGCCTCTGCACTTTTGGGGGCGTTGGAACAAGAGCAGTTGCCATACAGGCCCCCTCCCCACAAACACACCCCTATCCCGTCTGCATTACAGACTGGGCCAGCATGTGATCAGGCTGCTGATGCTTCCCGCTGCCAGTGACATCAGCCGGCTGAGCCGTGCAATAGAGAGCGGCATCATCCCTCACAGAACGGGGGAGGAGCAGGAGGGGACAACAGGGAGGAGACTTGCCTCCCAGGGAAAGACAGCACAACAGCTACTTGGAATAGTCCCGGTACAGTGCCGGTAAGTCTGGGTTGCAAGGCAGCGCCCTCCGATCTCCAGCAATGGTGGCCAAGCAGCCCTCAGGCACGACTGAAGTCCTCTCTGCTGACAGTAAAGCCAAAGCAGCCGACTGCCTGCTTGTGTGGCTCTGCCCTCCTGCCCCTCCCTTTCCCTCCCTCTGCTCTCCACCCCCAAACCCAAAAACACTCTAGTCCTGGACTCTCTCCAGCTGCTGGCTCAAGCCCTGGCTTTGCAGCCCAATGCAAAGCTTCACAATCCTGCTAGCAAAAATCTGTGTGCTCCAAGTGGCCCCTGAGCAGCACCCTGACACAGCAGTGTTTACCACTGAGGAACAAGATAACCTTCAGAAAAACAATGTACACTTGGACCCTGGGGAACAACACCTGGTGTTCCAGGCTTGTCTAGAACAGCTTATCACAGAGAAAGGGGGGTCGGTTTTGGCAGAGGATGGGAGAGTCACTGGGCTTTTCCAGGTATACCTCACAGGACATGGCCACAACCCGTATGCCAGAGCGAGACCTGCCCTGATTAGGATAATCCCTGTGCCCAGACTCCCTCACCCCAATAAGATGGGTATTAGTCATAAGCAGATTTAGTGGCCCAGCTCCACTCCTCCCTGCCCTCCTGCAACTGCAGGCACAGACTGAGGAAACACTCTCAAAGCAGCATCTGACAAACCAAAACAAGAGAAACAGCCTCTAAAATATTGTTTTGCCCTATTAGAAACACCAAACTCTGAAGCTTAATCACCCAGCTCTGTCAATATTGCTTCTTTTGCCATTCTAAGAACCCTGAGCACAATATTGGGCAGCCGTGAGGCCACTGATGCCTCTAATGCCCAGGCCCTCTCTCAGAGGTGCTGCATAAGACCAGTGCTTTATTTTTGTGGCCACTCACAGCCCCAGCAACAAAGTCTAAGAAAGTTCAGCTTCTGGAGCTTCCGCTATTTCCTCTTTGCCGTGTCCTTCCACATCAGTCCTTTTCCAACATGAGCCCTGGGTCACCGTGCTTCTTCCTCACAAAGGAGGGTAGGGCAACAGGCCCAGATTCAGCAGACAGGCTGCTCACACCTGGACTCAGCTGGTAACACTCCACCTGCTTGTTCTCCCCTGTTGCAAGGAGAAGCAAGCAGATACAGGAAGCATTTCCACCTGGGACCTCCCATGGCAGGGTCAAGAGGATACTGCTGCCATAGGAATAGCTGTTCAGAGCTTCCTGCAGTACACTCTGTGTCCATAGGCACTCAGGCATAGCCTAGAGGGGGAAATTATCAGTCTCCTTCCATTGGAGATATTTTTTTTAAAGCTTTGCTGCTGTGTCATCCATCCACGTTATTCCTGCTGGCTGTAGATACTCTGCTTGTTCCCTGTCTGTTTGTCAAAGCCTTGTTCATCACTGCAAAGGCCAAGCAAGAACTGCCCATACTGGTGCTGTCCCCACCCGACTACTTCCTCCTGCTTCTCTATGTTCACCCTTCCCTCAGCTAAGCATATACTTCAGACTTCACCCATATGTATTAGTTATCAAAGCATAAGGCTTCCTTCATCCATACTTAAGTATCTATTCCCCCCAAATCAAGTATCTATATAATCCTCTCTATCCCAAACTGAGGGCATCTATGTCTAGAAGCAGCCATTCTCTACCTATTAAAATCAGGGTAACTGTGCAGATGATTACCCTCATCCCTCACGCAGAGACAATCAACTATGCTCTTGCTATTCAAAGTATAGTGTGACAGACCAGCAATGTGAGCAGCACCAGGAGTTTGTTATAAATACTGAGTCTCAGGCCCCACCCACGACCGATGGAACTGAGATTTGCATTTTAACAAGATTCCCAGTTAATATATATGTATGCAAAGAAAGTTTGAGCAGTTGGGTATGGTGGCTCATGCCTATAATCTCAGCACTTTGGGAAGATTGCTTGAGCCCAGGAGTTCAAAGCATCAGTGAGCCATGATTGCACCACTGTACTCCAGCCTGGGCGACAAAGCAGTCTCCATCTCAAAAGTTTGAAAAGTACTGATGTAAACAACTAACACAGTCTTCCCACCCCAAGCTGAAAGACCCCAGGCCTGAGCAACAGGTCTGTTAAACCTAAGAACCAAATGGCTACATGCACCCAAGAGCCTGGAGTTCTACACACAGTGTAATTCTACCCTCACCCGCACAAACCCCACTACCACAGGCCTCACTTTCCTCCTTATCCAGACATTGCTCCAGATAAAGGTTTTTACTACCATTGTAGGATTCCTTCACTAGATCCTAACAAATGGAGGCCATACCTGTTAAAACCATTAGTGTGGCAGGCTAAAAAAATCAGCTTTAGACGACTAACAAACCTTGCTGTGCTCACTAGGTCTGCCACTGCGTCCTTCTGAGCACCTTTCTGAGCATTTTTCATCTTTTTAAGAGGTAACAGTAGCTACCTTTTAGGCATTTTGTGAAGATTAAAGAAAATACATGAGGCCAGGCATGGTGGCTCACGTCTGTAATCCCAGCACTTCGGGAGGCTGAGGTGGGCAGATCACTTGAGGTCAGGAGTTCGAGACCAGTCTGGCCAACATAGTAAAACCTCATCTCTACCAAAAATACAAAAAACATTAGCGGGGCATGGGGCACAGGCCTGTAGTCCCAGCTACTCGGGAGGGTGAGGCAGGAGAATTGCTTGGGCCTGGGAGGCGGAGAGGTTGCAGTGAACCAAGATCATGCCACTGCACTCCAGCCTGGGTGACAAAGCTAGACTCAGTCGCAAAAAAGAAAAAGAAAAAGGAGAAAAGGAGAAAAGGAGAAAAGGGGAAAAGGGGAAAAGAGGAAAGGAAAGGGAAAGGGAAAGGGAAAGGGAAAGGGAAAGGGAAAGGGAAAGGGAAGGAAAGGAAAGGAAAGGAAAGCAAAGGAAGAAGGAAGGAAGGAAGGAAGGAAGGAAGGAAGGAAGGAAAGGAGGAAGGAAAGAAGGAAGGAAGGGAGAGAGAGAAAGAAAATCATAAACCATGTTCATGTACTGGAAGACTCGATAGTGCTAAAAATTGATACCTACTAAATTAATATACAGATGTTCCTCAACTACAGTGCGGTTATGGTCTGACAAGCCCATTGTAAGTTGAAAACACTGTAAATTGAAAATGCATTTAAATACATCTAATCTATAGCTATGCCTAGCTTACCTTAACTGTGCTCAGAAAACTGTCACTAGCTTACAGTTGGGCAAAATCATTTAACAGAAAATCTGTTTTATAATAAAGTGATAAGTATCTCATGTAATTTACTGAATACTGTAATGAAAATGAAAAACAGAATGGTTATATAGATACTCAAAGTACAGTTTCAACTGAATGCGTATCACTTTCACACCATCATCATGTCAAAAAACATACATTGAACCATCCTAAGTCTGGGACCATCTGCACAGTGTAATCCCAATATACCAGACTTCAAGCAATTCATTGGGGAAAACCTTTTTAAAAATGTTGCTGGAACACCATATGGGGAGGAGGGAATACACTCTGACCTATATACAAACATTAATTTAATAGGTATCTGAGACCTAAAAGTGAAAGCTAAGTGTAACTATATAGCTTCTCTAAGAATTATCTTTGTAACTTAGTAGAGGAAAGAGGATGTGCATAGAAGCAAGAGTTTCTTTATGTAGAGCACAGAAAACAATCATCACGAAGAAAGTTTATAAGCTGAATTTACCAAAATCAAAAACTTCTCATCAAGACACCATTAAGAAAATAATTAGGCAAGCCAGAAAATGTGAGAAAATACCCACGAATGTATCTGACAAATCATTAAAGAAATCTTAACTGAAAAGTAACAAAGTCCCAATTGTTAAAAGACACAAAATCTGAAAAGCATTTCAAAAAGATTATATAAATGGCCAATAAGAACTTCAAAAATTGCTCGACATCGTTAGTCAAAGAAATCTAAGTTAAAACCACAGTGAGACACTACTGCACAACTACTAGGTGGCTAAAATTAAAAAGACTGTACCACATCCTGCCAACATTTGATGTCAATCAAAGCTTCATTACCGTAAATGGTACATCCACCTTGTACCTATGAAAACTCTTATATATTTTCTTCCTTTTCAATGGAAGAAAAGGTACATTCACTCTGAGAATAGGTCTGCCCATTTCTTAAACAACTAAACACATATTATCCTATGATCTGAAAATTATACTCCTAGGAATTCAACTAAAAGGAGTAAAAGTCAATGTCTATAAAAACACCTGTGCAAGAATAGTAATAGCAGCTTTATTCATAATCACTCAAACCTGGATTCAGTCCATGTGAGAATCAACACAACAAAATGTGGTATATGCATATACCATACTATTACTCAGCAATAAAAGGGAAACTGATACAGGCAACAATATAGGTAAATCTTAAGATAATTAAGGTGAGTGAAAAAAGTCATATGTAAGTACATATGTATGTAATTCCACTTATTTCAATTTTTAGAACAGACAAAACTAATATATGGTGAAAAAAATCAGGTGGTTGTCTCTGGCCGGAAGTAGCAGGGTAGATTAGGAAGGGGTACAAGGAACTAGCTGAGGTGATGCTAACAGTTTTGATGAGAGTGGGGATACATCAGTCAGAATGGATCTAATGACACATTTAGGATTTGTGGACTTTACTGCATATAAATTTTACCTCAAAAAGTTATAAACAACTGTAGTTAACAATATGCATGCTGAAGGATTTTGAGGTAAACTGTACTAATGTCTACAATTTACTTTAATGAATTGAATTATAAAAGTAAACTGTACTGATAAGTGGTTTGGGGGCTAACTAAATGAATGGAGATGTGATAAGGCAAATATGGTAAAACGTTCATTGTATAAGAGTGCTAAGTATTACAGGTGTTCACTTTATGTTTCTTTCAGCTTTTCTGTATGCTTGAAAATATTAATAAAATGTTGAGAAAAAAATAAAGTCAGACTTTTTCTGAAAGAAAGTCTGACTGAACTAATTGGTTTGACAGTAAGAACTGACCCCAGGCTGGGTGTGGCTCACACCTGTAGTCTCAGCACTTCGAGAGGCCAACTCAGATGGACAGCTGAGCCAACAAGTTCGAGACCAGCCTAGGCTACATGGCAAAACCCCCATCTCTAATAAAAATACAAAAAATTAGCCGAGCATGGTGTTGTGCACCTGTAGTCAGCCAGCTGGGTGGCTGAGGTGGGAGGATCGCTTGAGCCTGGGAGGCAGAATATGCAGAGTAAGCTGAGATTACACCACTGCACTCCAGCCTGGGTGACAGAGTGAGATCCTGTCTCCAAAAAAAACAGAACTCATTTTCTATAAATAAAGTTAAGTCTATAGGCCCATGGTTTTGACAAAACATACTTAAAGCAAATGGTAAAATAAAATCATTTAAAAAGAGCATATCGGCAAAAGTGTGCTTTGTTTTCTTTTTGTATGTGAGGCTATAGGCACACCACTAAGTCCAACTATTTTTTCTTTCTTTTTTTTTTTTTTTTTAGAGACAGGGTCTCACTCTGTTGCCCAGGCTAGTCTCAAACTCTTGGGCTCAAGGGATCCTCCCACCTCAGCCTCTCAAACTGTTGCAATTACAGGTGTGAGCCATTGTCCTGATTACAAAGGTATATTTTTAAACTAACTTAAAATTCTTAAATTTCCTACAAATGTTGCACAAAAACTATTATAAGTTTTCTCAATCCTTTAAGTATACTGAGTTAAGATATATCTAAGTGAAGGACAAAGAGACATAGTAGTAATGTCAAATCCGTGTTTTTTTGTTTTGATTTTGAGATGAACTTTTACAAACAGAATTTTGCTCTGTCAGGCTGGAATGCAGTGGAATAAACACAGCTCACCGCAGACTAGACTTCTAGGCTTAAGTGACTCTCCTACCTCAACCTCCCAAGTAGCTGGGACTGCAGGTGCATGCCACCATATCTGGCTTTTTTTGTTTGTTTGGTATATTTTTGTAGAGACAGGGTCTTGCTATGTTGCCCAATATAAAAGCCATTCTCAGACTCTTGGGCTCAAATGATCTGCCTGCTCCAGCCTCCCAAAGTGCTGGGATTACAGGCGTAAGCCACTGCACTCAGCCTCATCTGAAATCTTTTTTTTTTTTTTTTTGAGACAGAGTTTTGCTCTTGTTACCCAGGCTGGAGCGCAATGACAGGATCTCGGCTCACCGCAACCTCCGCCTCCTGGGTTCAGGCAATTCTGCCTCAGCCTCCTGAGTAGCTGGGATTACAGGCATGCACCACCATGCCCAGCTAAGTTTTTGTATTTTTAGTAGAGACGGGGTTTCACCATGCTGACCAGGATGGTCTCGATTTCTTGACCTCGTGATCCACCCGCCTCGGCCTCCCAAAGTGCTGGGATTACAGGCTTGAGCCACCGCGCCCGGCCTGAAATCTTGATGAAGCATTCTTGATACAGTTCCAAGAAACTCAGTAATTCCATGTCTGGTATGACTAGGTAACAAATCTTCACAAATTAGCTGGTTTCCAGTTCTTTCTTTTCAACAAATATGAAGGAGTAGAATGCAACTATCAGCAAGTAGATGACTAAAAATAATAATACATGACTAATTTTTTGCACAGAACAAAGAGATCAAAGGATTGTAAAAACTAGTTCACTACCCAATTACTTATTTTATGTGAACAAGTTTACTCAGGGCACAAACCTATGGAAACAAAATGTATACATACAGGGTTAAAAACCCCAAATTGGCTGGGCACAGTGGCTCACACCTATAATCCCAGCACTTTGGGAGGCCGAGGCAGGTGGATCACTAGAGGTCAGGAGCTCGAGACCAGCCATGGTGAAACCCCATCTCTACTAAAAATGCAAAAATTAGCAGGGCGTGGTGGCATGCACTTGTAGTCCCGGCTAGTCAAGAGGCTGAGGCAGGAGACTCACTTGAGCCAGAGAGGCGGAGGTTGCAGTCAGCCCAAGATCATGCCACTGCACTCCAGCCTGGGTGACAGAGCAAGACTCTGTAGCCATTCCAGCAATAAGTCAGTCACCCAAAATTACTTTTCTGTTGTTGTTATTTGTTTTGAGACAGTCTCACTCTGTCATCCAGGCTGGACAAGATCTCGGCTTATTGCAACCTCTACCTCCCAGGCCTCAGACAATTCTCCTGCTTCAGCCTCCCCAGTAGCTGGGATTACACACAGACGCCACAATGCCCAGCTGATTTTTTAGAGTAGAGACAGGGTTTCACCATGTTGGCCAGGCTGGTCTTGAACTCCTGACCTCAGGTGATCCACCTGCCTCAGCCGCCCAAAGTGCTGGGATTACAGGCATGAGCCACTGTGCTCGGTCGTAAAATTACATGTTTTTTTTTATTAAAAAAAAAAAAAATACCAGAGGAAAGCGTGAACGCAGTCCCCCACTACCATAAATTATGCAGCTGAGTTTCCCACATTTGGGGAAATAGCAGGGGTCAGCACATCCAGAATGCAATGGATAAGCCTCACCCTGGGAAAACCACCTTTGTGATCATGGTATCTCCCCTGCCAGGTACGTATAAAATTACATGAGTTTTTAAAAGGTATCAGTTTGGGCCAGGCGCGGTGGCTCACGCCTGTAATCCCAGCACTTTGGAAGGCCGAGGCTGGTGGATCACAAGGTCAAGAGATCAAGACCATCCTGGCCAACGTGGTGAAACCCCACCTCTACTAAAAAGGTCTCAATTTATGTCATTAAAAAATATTTTCAGACTAGGTGTGGTGGCTCACATCTGTAATCCCAACACTTTAGGGGGCTAAAGCAGCAAGATCACTTTAGCCCAGGAGTTCGAGACCAACCTGGGCAACGTAGGGAGATCCTGTTTCTACAAAAAAATAAGAAAAATAGCAGGACATGGTGGCGTGCGTCTGTGGTCCCAGGTACTTAGGAGGCTGAGGCTGCAATGAGCTGGGATTGTGCCACTGCACTCTGGCTCAGGTGACAGATACCTTGTCTTAAAACAACAACAATAAAAGCAAGCATTGCCAATAAACAGTTATTAAAGAATAAAATTTTATCAAGATTTGTAACATTTAAATTGTCTTAATTGCCCTACCAATTGTCATAGCAATCCAGTATACTAATCGCCTTTGAGATACAGGAAATAATTTGAAATTTCAGTTTACATACTTTTGTTGTTACTGGGAAGTATGACGTGCGATATCAACAAGACTCTCAAGCATAAAATATTACATTAGGATAAAACTCAGTGGGAGAATTGGACTACAAATACTAGTAGAAAAGAAATAATAAAAAGTTTCCCACTATTAAAGAACGGTTTACATATTTTAAAGTAGATAATAGGTGTCAAATCTACTATTATAAATGTTTCCACTTATAATAAAAATGTAGATACCAAGTTAAATATGCAAGGGGTGCACTGTACTAAAAATTTTACTGTGGTAAAATATACATGAAATTTACCATTCTAATCATTTTTGCACATACAATTCAGAGGCATTAGTACATTCATATTTTTGTGCAACCATCACCACTATTCACCTCGAGAGCTTTTTTTACCCTAAGCTAAAACTTTGTACCATTAGACATTAATTCCCCACTACCCTCTCCTCCTAGGCCCTGGTTACCATTATTTTACTTTGTCTCTATAAATTTGACTATCGTAGGTACCTCGTAAGTATAATCATATAGTATTTGTCCTTTGTATCAGGTTTATTTTACTTGGCATAACACCTTCAAGGTTCATCCATGTTGTAGTACGTCCCCACCTCCCCTTTTTTTTTTGAGACAGGGTCTCCTTCTGCCACCCAGGCTAGGATGCAGTGGCACAGTAACGGCTCACTGCAGCCTTGGTCTCCCCAGCATCAACTAATCCTCCCACCTCAGTCTCTCAAGCAGCTGGGACCACAGGTGCATGTCACCAGCCTGGCTAAATTTTTAGAGATGGGGGTCTCCTTATGCTGCCCAGGCTGTTGTTGAACTCCTGGGATCAAGCAATCCACCTGCCTAGGCCTCCCAAAGTGCTGGAACTATAGGGATGAGCCACTGCCCAGCATTCATTCATTCATTGACTGGATTTTGCTATATTGCCCAGGCTGGCCCCAGACTCCTGCCTTACTCTATCCTGCCTCACCCTCTCTCAAGTAGCTGGGACTATGGGTGTGCACCACTGTGCCAGGTTTCCTTTTTAAAGCTGCTAATATTTCATTGTTCATAACATTTTGTTTATCCATCCATCCATCCATCCAATTCATCCACTGATGGACATTTGGGTTGTTTCCTCTTTCTACTTTTTGACTGTTGTGAACAGTACTGTTATGAACACTAACATACAAATATACGTTCAAGTCCTCGCTTTCAATTCTTTTCTGTGTATACCTTGAAGGAGAATTGCTGGATCATATGGTAATTCTATGTTTAATTATTTTGGAAGCACCACACTATTTTCCCCAGCAGCAGCACCATTTTACATTTCCATCAGCAATGCACAAATGTTCTAATTTCTCCATATCCTTGCCTACAATTTATATTTTGTTTTAATAACTGCCATGCTAATAGTGTATAAACTAGTATCTCATTGTGGCATATGTTTTTTAAAAAATTAGGTTGTACACAAATGTTGGAAGATTCCTGTTGCCTAATTCATGAATCCCCAAGGTTTTAAAAAATCTCCCCAACACCAGATTTGTTTTTGAATTGCTTTTGTTGAATTGCCATCCAAGTGGTCCTAAAGGTAGTGGCATCTTCTTGCAGGATTCCACCTCTCTGGTTACAGTAATGGTCCCATAGGTAAGCGCCTGACTCAAGCTAAGCAAGAATTACCCAATCCTATGACTACAGAGACCAGTCCACATACGGGCATGACTTAAGCCAACCTAACTGGGTATCTTTCCTTGAGATTTTTCTAACTGTAGATAGTGGAAGAACTATTTCAGGATTGTCCATGATGCCAAAGGATGTAAGCATATACTCCTTCTCATAACAGGCAACTCTGTAAAAGGAGATAATGAAACTCACACTGGGAAATGAGCAGAGGAAAGTCAGAAATAGATAAAACTGGAGGCCACAAATTCAGTATCCCCAGCTTTCCAGTGATTCCTATTCTGTGAGCTTTGTATCAACAGCCTTCCAACATATCCCACATTTTACTAAAGTAAGTTCTAACTGGGTGTTTGATTGTTTACAAATCAGAGTGTTCTGTGTAATTCAGGCCCTTTAGCAAGGATATACCAAACAAGTAACTACTGCATACAGGATAAAAATCTCTGGTACAAAAGCTCTTAATGTCCTGGCACCAGATGAGAAAGCCACAAAAGAAAGCAGGAAAGCAGTTTATACCACCTTGTGAAATTCCTTGCCACCCCCCCACCTTTTTTTTTTTTTTTTTTTTTTTAACTAGAAAGCACAAGGCTCAAAGATGGCCGTAAGCAACAAAGCTAAAAGGCAGAGGTGAGATATTTGTTCATCTCAAATCCAGGGAGTAATCTGCTCCCCCGACCTCTCTCCCACCTCTCCCCCACAATGGGACACTTTCTAGACCCAGGTCTGCACTCATACATAACCCTACTCAGACCTGTATCAGCAAGTTAGCAAAGTACCCCTTTTCTGCACTCAGGTCCCACGGAGCTGTGTACCAAACCCATCCCATCAGTTATTTAAAACAGAAGGGCAGTGTATTTTCATATAGAGTAAATTGGTACGACATTTCTGGAGAGAAATCTGACAAAAACATTGAAAGCTTCAAAAGATAGTTACTCTTTGATAAATAAATTCTACTTTTAGAAATGTATTCTATGTCCAAATAATCACAGATGTAGGCAAAAGCTTTAACTTCAAGTACTTCTTACTGGTGTATGAAATAGACACCTATTTAAACAAACTCCAAAATATGAAGACTGAATGCCAGAGGTTTACCTTTTTTGTATCTTGAACCATTTGGCAGTCTGCTAAAACCTACAGAAACATTCTAAGAAAAATGTTTCAAAACATATAAAATAGTCATAATATTGAAATAATGTCAAGATATGTACAATGACTGGAAAGGAATCAATATGAATTGTCTGATCATCCTATGGATAACAAATTATTAGGTCTTGCTAATATTGTGATTTGTTGCCTAAACTTACAGCTGAAGGAAATGCTATGTTTCAGTTAAACATCACTGAATATGAAGATACATGTTTTTTTTTTTTTTTTTTTTT